TCAAAATTCGGGGTTTACGGAACTTTTACTTTTGCCACTGTACCATGAAGGATTTTTAGCATGGTTTTGTAATAAATGCCATCAACCTGAAGACATGATAATTATTGAAAGAAAACTTTCAGTAATATTATTACAAGTGATTAGAAAATGTGCAAAGGAAGTTGTACAGATGAGAAATAGTCATTATATTTTTATACAGAGTGGATTTGAAAATAGAGAAAATCCTACAGCGAATAATGATTCATATTAGAAAGTTGTGGGACTTTTCCCTGTTCTAATAATAATTTATTTATTTAGGTTGTAAAATAGAGTCAAAATGGGAAGCAAAATCTGTAAAACACTGAAATAAAAATAGGCATTTTCAGGAATTTATTATACCAGGTGAATCAGAAGTATGGAACCAAACGTTTTTTTGCTTAAACTATTTATTTTTTGGAAAAACTAATTGTCATGTTTTATCAAGAATAAAATTTTTCGAAATGTTATTGTCTTTTTGAATTCTACAAAAAATTTGATTTTTTAAATGGCAACTCACTATAAAACCATTTTTCTCACGAAAGTTATTATCTAAGAATTACAACTATCTACTTTGTTTAATTTTTTCAATTTTTTTTTACATAAATTACAGTTTTGCCCAAAAAATCGCATAACGCAAAAACAAAATAAAATTTTGTTCTCAAAATACATTTTTTTTCACACAAAAAGTGTCATTAATGTCATTCATTGTGACAAAAATCTTTTTGTTTGGTTTTTTATTTCTTGCTACCTGGAGTACACATTTATTTGGAAAAATAATTTTTAGGATTGTTTGATTGCCACCTTAAAATGATCCTTTTCAATGACTACTTTGATGCACATTAATATGGAAACGCGAATATTCCATCTTTTTTTAATTTCTTAATTTAATTTAATTTATAGAGCTTCAAATTATTATTTGAATTATGGAAGGGAAGGTTAAATATATTTTTTTATATTTTTGCAAAATTGATCAAGTCTTTGGGAAGAAATTTTTGGGTATAGAGAAAATTGATTTTTTATATTAATTTTCAAAAAGGAAGTAAAAGCACAAACTTGAGTATAATAGTCGTTATATTAGATCACAAGGTAGAAAAGAGATTTTTTATAGCCGAGGTGCGTAGCATCGAGGGAAATAATAAATGCGCGGCTATTAAAATCTTCTTTACGGTATTTTATATATAATATTTTTTTCACTCCTAGGACATTTATATGATTGATGTACATGTCGTAATTCACAACTATTCTATCCTGTTTGTGAATTTTTTATTACCTACAGTAATTAATTACTTATCTGAGTTATTAGCTTAAGTTAGAACTATAATTTTATTTATTTTTTATATTTCTGCATTTATTATAGTTACTTATTGTACAAGACGATAAAGTAATTGTTTATCTACGAGTGAAAAGGTTAAGTTTACGAGTGACGAAGTTTCGAGTGGACTTTTTTCATGAGTAGATAAACAGTTTTATCGTCGTGTATAATATTTAGTTTTACTACCAGAATTTCTTGAATATAAACAGTAGATAAAAATTACTTTATTTCACTAGACGATAAAAGACTACTTTATCTACTGTAATTAGTTGATAAAAGCACTCTTTAACATTGAGTACAAAATAAAAGGAATTTTCTAACTTCATAATATGAAAATAATGTGCAGGGTGTCTCAAAATTCGCTCACTTCCTTGAAAAGGAGTATTTGGAAACTGGAAGAAATGGAAAAAAGTGTTGCTCTGTCGGTAGTATTTTAACATGAAATAAACCTATTTGTGTTTTGACAATGATACAAGAAATATTGTGGAGGAGATTTAAGTCTTTTTTATTAAATAATTCGTGTAATATTCAAGATATACCCGTATTTGTATCAATGTAATACCTTCCAACATTAGTATTCACCCAAACTATAATAAATAACATAAGTCATGGTACTTTTTAGAACTAGTAGTGAAAACAGTTCTTTTTAAAGGTTTAAATAAGCTAATTTGGAGATGTGAAAGATGCAATAAAGAAAAAGGCATTTGTTGTTATCCCCCCACTCGTGTATTCCGTTAATATTTTGACCACTCTTTGTAAAAATCTAATTTTGTTTCTTTCTTATTTTTTTATTAAATACGGTTTTCATAAAGAGTTTTATTTATAAGGAATTAATGAATGCCTTACTGTCGAAGTTATTTAACTTTTTGCATTACGAAATGCAGGACAATAGCAGTTCCATT